TTGCTGGTTTCTAAAGACTGCATTATTCCGAGCGGCCCAGATAACCCAAAACATTGCAATAATAATTTCCATGAAGAATGGTTTGTGAATTTGGGTTCTAAACAAGAAGACTGAATCAATTAGATTATCTTGAATCAAATGGGCCAAACCCAGCATATTCCAGCAAAGACAGAGCAAAAGAACACTCCAGAAATAGATGATTTAAGGATTCCTCTGTATCTAGATGGCAAAGCACACAGTTGTAACTTTCATAAGTCCACGGGTACTCAAACGATCTTTGATGGCTAGCAAAAAAAACACCTTTCTCTTTGGTAGACAGTTTGAGTTCCACAGCCAATTCTATATGGGTGGGACTGGAATACAGCCCAGCAACTGTTTATAAGCTTTCCTTCATGCAAAATTAAGGGAACCCCATATATAAGACCATTTATCCCTAAGCTGGTTCAAATGGAAGTCTTCTGATTCAGAAAGAAAAAGATGAAATTCGGCATGAGCTTCCACTGAGAGGGGGATGTGAAAGAAGTCAGACTTATCTTCTGTAGCCATGAAATCCTTTACTAGGATGTGTTCTTCTTTAGTATAAGAGAAAAGGTGAGGCCATTGAGCACTAAAAGAATCACCATGCCAGGTATCTGGCCAGAAAAGACAAGTGGATCCATCACCAACTGTTACAGAAGTCATGTCTTTGAAGGAGTTGAGCGGTTTAAGGACATCTTTCCACCAGAAGGATCCCCTTCTTCTATTTTGAATTGTAAAGTTTGCACCAGTATAATAAGAATTTCAAACTAGATGAACCCATGGGATAGCACATTTATTGAAAAATTTATGCAGATGTTTAAAAAACAAACTCTCGTTATGAGTATAAAGATCATGAACTCCTAAACCATCATTTTCTTTTGTGTTACAAACAAGCTTCCAGGCTGCTTTGGAAGGTTTTTTTAGTTAATGTCAGACCCTATCCACAAGCAATGATTTCTATATTTATCAATTGCTTGCGTACTCCTGGCTCACATATAAATGGAAAAAAAAAAGATTACAGTAGGGTTCTTTCGCTGCAAGTTCGCAACCGATGTGTTCTGCACGGCGTATAGTAGGAGTAGTACACATCTTCTGTTTTGGTCTGAACGGAGTTGTTGTTCTGCTAATCCACTGGACATCCTAGAACGGATGGTCATGGGCCAGGAGTTGCGTGCGATGCAACGGCAACACCAACGCCAACTGCCTGTTTTCTTGAACGGAGTGACGGCGGCGAACCTTACCTGATCATCAGTTCAGTGGTAGGAGTAGTCCATCTCGCAAGTGCATGCATTGAGAAATTGAGCACACCACTACCACACCCTGTGTCTGTGTAGTCTACCCTGCCTACGCCCTACGACAGCTCCCTCCCTATCCTCTCCTGCTCCTACCACGCAGGTCCGTCCAGTCGTCGACTAGACTGCTGAGCTAGCCGCCGCTGTCCAATGCAACGCAGCAAGGTGCCGTTGCCGTTGCGCTGCACCGGGTCAAGGTCAGGGTCAGGCCATCTGCGTCGTCAGTTTGCAGCGGCATGGACGAACGACACGCGCTGCCACCCTGTTCACTGTGGCTTATAAACCGGTCGATGTTGTTTTGTTGCGAGAAAAAAACACTGAATCATATGTCTGACAAGATCAAATGAACAGTATGCTTGTTTGTTGTCGTTGCTGGTCGAGTTGTCGTAGCAGATACGCGAGCGGATGCCCAATCACCTCAGAGCCGGTAGGAAAGGGTTGCCGCCCCGTCCGCATCACGTCCGTCAGATCGGGTCATCTGGTCATGTCACCGATCCATCACTCGTCACGGGTCTTCTATCAGGTTGTTTGTGCTGCGAGACAAGAAGTCGTTTGGGGTTTTGCCGGTTTGTCAAGCTTGGCAACCCATCCTCATCCTGACCTGTGGGCGAGTAGGCGTAGGGCGACTATGCTGTTCATGCGCCAGCGTAGAGGGTAGTGTTTTCTTCTACCGTCCCAGGAATTTCCCGGTAAGAACGTGCGTAGAAAAAAATCAACTGGGACGGACATTTCTACTGCCTACTCCCTCTAGTGCCTGCTCCCTCCGTCCCAAAATAATTAATATTTTCACTTTCTCGAAAAATAACTTTAATTAATTTTATATTTAAAAACATTAATATTTATAATAGATAATTAATATCATTAGATAGATCATTGAATCTATTTTTAAAATAAATTTATTTAGAGATACAAATATTGCACGTATTTTCTATAAATCTAGTTAAACTTACGGCATGAAAACCCAAAACGACAAATAATTTGGGATGGAGTAGTCTGTCCCATATTTCATGTTGTTCTCGCTTCCCGATAAGTCAAACATATTTAATTTTAACTAAATATATATAAAAAATGTTAATATTTATAGTACATAATTCGTATTATTAGATAGATAGTTGAATTTTGTTTTTTATAATAAATTTAATTGAAGATATAAATGTTGCTAATATTTTCTATAAACTTAGTCAAACTTTAAAAAGTTTTGACCGGCACGAATCCTATAGTGACACTTAAATAGGGATGGAGGGAGTACTACACGTCATCAACGTTCTACCGCGGGGAAGAGCCCAAGGAGCGGTTTGTGGAGAAGACAACGAACAAAATCGCAAAGGAGGGAGGGAGGAGATCATGATTGACAAGCTATCGTTTCATGTCAATCCAATGGAGGAGAAATTGTACCTAGTCGATATTACACCATAAATTATCATACTTATGGAGATGGAATATTTCCAGACTCTTAAGAGAAGAGAAGAAAATATTTTGACCACCACTTGGCACAATGCTTTGATAGTTGATTCTGGCAGAGCCACTGTCGTTCTCACTATGGATACACAAATAATGATAGAGGATTCATTATTGTACCCTGATTTGATCTGTATTCTATTAAGTTATAGAGATATCCGTAAGAATGGCCTTCATATGGAGACACATGTAGATAATAAAGAGGATTTTCCTCTCTTTATTAAACTTACTGGATATAGCAAACATGTTTGTGAGAAAATTTCATCCCTTGAATTTAAATTGTACTATACATACATTAATCTGATATAATTCTCCATAATAATGATACATTCCAAACTTGGCATGATCGATTTGGACACCCTATCATGTGGATGATGAGAGAAAGCAAATCTTTTGGTCATGACTTGCATAGCGCAAAGTTCTCATAATCTTTGAATTTCTTATGAGCTACATGTGCTACTAGGAAGTTGATTTTAAGACCATCGACTCTTAAAATCAAGGTTGAACCACTAAAATTCCTTCAAGGATATTCAAGGTAATATTTATATATATACTCATCAATTCATTGATCAGGATTGCATGTTCCCATTTTACTGTTCTTCTTTTCTTATTTATACTATTCTACCCCTCCCGTTCTAAAAAGAATACAATTATCATGTTATGAAGAGTCAAACAATTTTAAATTTATCTAAATTTATATAAAAATACCAATATTTTTTATACCAAATATGGTATAGTAAACCTAATTAGAGATATAAATGTTGATATTTGTAAACAGCAGAGCAGGTCTCCAGACGGGCTGGTTACATGGCGCTAGTAGCAATCCTCAAGTCCTATGGTTAAAAACAATCCGTCCGTATGTCCCACTCCAAAGTATAGATCTAAAAATTGGCCATGTTCTTATATGGCAATGGTGCTATTGAACATAGGTTTGGAAAATTTTCTCGACTAAAACGAGAAGATTTCCTTGTGTCTTAAGCAGAATAGGTTGAGTTTTTTTTCTCTTTCTATAAACTCAGTTAAAAACAGAAAAGTTTAACTTTTTTTTTTTTTTGACCGAGGAGGTATACTACGGCACATTCCAGGGGCAAGCACACGCGATTGGCGACATGTGGCAGAGAAAGAGCTGGTGGCCGACCGTTTCTGAGTGCTGACAGAACAACAGTAGCCTTCTCTTCGTGCTGGAGCAATCGCGTGTGCTTGCCCCTCCACCTCCCAGCCCAGGCCAGCTGGGTCCATCTTTGAAGCCGCCGCCCCTTCCAGGCTGTTGCATTAGAAGGGTATTGTTTGTGGCAGTCTGTGATTTATCTTGTCTCCTTTGTTCAATTTGCAATTTGATTCGTACGGGTGTTCATTCCAGTCCCAAATGTGGTTCAACATCCATCTTTGCATCAGCACAATTCTTCAAAATGCGCAACATTTCCCCAACCGAGGCCATTATCAAGATTGGCCACAAATGATAACAGATACGGAGTACAAAAAAATGTAGTAGTAACAACAAAAACATGGGTATCTAATGCAGCAGGGATGAACGGACTTCTGATACCTCCCTTTGACCACCAACTTTACTTCTCTTTGGGACGAGTTTTAGAACGAATGGCCTCAAACGATGCAATAAGCATCACCCTCATGACGACTGAGAGCCCCTTGTTCCAATATATACCGTGTGCTCGCTAAACCGCCACTCTTGAAAAAGAAATGTCCTCTTGTAATCGAATCCGGAAAAGGCATCCAAATAATAGGATCTAAAACAGCAGGGGTACCAAAACTCTCACCTTGCCATCGTCTTAGCCAGTTCGTTTCTGCTGGATTGCTCGTATCTGGCTTATAATCCATGACTTGAATAGTATTTTTCTCTCACACCAAACCAGTCAGCAGTACTTTCAGTCATGGCTTATAAGCCAATCCAGCCGAAACGAACATGCTGTTAGTTCTTGCACTAGTGTACAGTTTTCAGAGCACCTTTAGTTCCGTTAAAGAGTAATAGGTTTTGCTCTCTTTTTTTAGAATAGTAATAGGTTTGGCTGAGCATCTTTTGCTGCAATTAAACCGGCGTTCTAGGCCTAAATGATTTGGCTCGAGTCTCTAATTCTCCGAAGAGCCAACTTTACTGCTCGTTTACCCAGTGGCGGGCCGCGGGCCCAAAGTGCTCGTTTATTATTACCGGCCTGGGCCGACCCGAGCCGCGTCGTTACTCTAGAGTTCAACGAAGTAGGGAAAACTTTCAAAACGATGGCGAGGAGCCGAGCTCCGGCCCCCGCCGTTGGAATTAACGACGATGGCGAGGAACAACACCTCAACCCCTTCCTTGACGCTGCGTCGTCCGCCTCCTCAAGGTTCCAGTTCAGGTACGTGCTTCGTTTTGCTTGCAGATGCTCTGCCTTTTCTGTCTCTGTTGGCTCGTCCTCGTCCTGGGATTGTGACTTCACTGGGTTCTGCGGATCTGGGCACAGGAATGTGGCATCGCGCGCGCGGTGGGTGGAGGAAATCGGCGCTGCAGAGGTGGTGGAGAGCAGGGGCAAGCTGTGGCTGACCACCGGTGTCACTCGGGCTGGCAAGCTGTACTACAACGTTGAGGAGATCGGGTACGCTAACTGTTCGATGAAATGTCGTATTTGTGCAGCGTTTGATTGTACTGGACTTGTAGCCATGGTGTGCTGTGAATCCAGCAGACCAGCATAAATGTTGCACTGCGTGAATCTCTGAAGCCATTTACTACTAACGTATTATGCATGAATTGCTTGCCATTGACTTTAGTTTTTGGAGTACTCAAGTTTGCTAGTGAAGGCTTATTGTCTGATGAAACCATTGCAGGTTCTTGGCTGAAAGAGGTGCACTGATTCTTCTCAGTGACAAGGATGAAACCATAGGGATTGAAGGCATCTATGAAAAGCTTGTTGGAGGAAATTATGGGTGCTCCTGGGATGCCTTCCAGGCTTATAAGCATTTGAAATCGCTTGGATATATTGTTGGAAGATTTGGTGTTCCTTGGACAATGAAGCATAGTGGTACTTGTGACACTGATCAGACCTTAAATAGAGTTGACGGAGCCTCTAATGACATAACCAAATTGCTCAAGGAAATGCAGATTGATGGGATATATCCATCTTTTGAAGTTTATCTGCCCAATAGCAAGTTCAAAAAGTCATCCCCAGGGTCCCCTACTTTCCTCTTATGTCTATTAAGGTAATAGTACTCCTTTATTGACTCAATTAATTTTATGGTCATAGATTCAATGTAGTTTAATTTTTCTGCAATTCATCTTCTGTGGATCTTTCAGTATTTGGGTAACAGGGCACATCCTCATTTCAGTTTATTCTTTAATTGATGGAATTATCTATTTGTAAATATGAATACATAAGTTTTTGGTCAGGGGGTGGATAATATCTTCTTCATTGGAACATCCGCATGATGAAGGCAATGCAAACAACATGTGTTAGTCGCTGAATTCTCACTCTTGGTAGTAGGAGAATTCTTACTCTCATCGAGAGAGGATGACACTAGGAGTTGGGACAATTTTCTTGTCTATTTCTCACACAAACTCATACAAATGCCATACCAACCTGAGGGGTTGGGGTTACATATTTATAGGCTGCTAGCTAGCCAAGCATATGCCAAGATGCTAGTCTAAGATGCTAATATGCTGTCCTAGCTAAGATCTTTGTCCTCTAGTCTAAAGATCTTTGTCCTCTAAGATGTTGTCCTCTAGTCTAAGATGCTGTCCTCCTAAAAGCAGTAAAATGCAGCCACAAGGACCATGTGAGCAAAGACAAACACCCACAAAGACCAAACCACACATGAGACTTATCCATCATTCTCCCCTAAGTCTTGTGCGCGTCTTGTGGGAGAGTTGAACCATCCCGGTCCTAGAGTAGAACTCAATGAACTTGATCCTCCCAAGGGGCTTGGTGAGCAGGTGTCAAAGCTGGTCCTTGGTGTTGATGTAGCTCGCCTTGATGCTCCCTTCCTCCAAACAGCCTCGGATGAAGTGGTACCTCACCCGGATGTGCTTTGCTGCGTTCGTGGAACACGGGGTTCTTTGCAGGCCGTGAGCGGACTTTGCTTGTCCACCCCGAGCTCCACCGCTCTAGTGTCTCGCCGAGGAGATCACCAAGGCCGAGCGAGTCGAGGCGCTGAGTCGAAGCGGTGGAGGCCGCTATGTACTCGGCCTCGCAATGACAGGCCAGGCCACCACTGCCGCTTGACCGACCGCGCCAGCCTAACGAGGCACTTACCGAGGAAGAAGAGGATCCCGCCGTGCTCTTTTCTTGGAGTCGATGTCGCCGGCGTGGTCGTTGTCATGCATTCGATGAAGTGTGCCGCCCTAGGGCACCTCTCGTAGTAGAGGCCGTGGTCGAGAGTCCCCGCAACGAAGCGGATGATCCTCTTCATATAGCTTCTTTGGTGCTCCGTCGTCGCCGCCATTGCATGAACCGACTAACGAAGCCGACGGAGAATGTCAAGTCCGCCGTGTGTGGGCGAGGTAGCGAAGGCTCCCCACAAGACGCCAGATGCACAGAAGCGCCCACCTCCTCCGTCGGTTGTCGCGGCTCGACTTTCAGCCTCTCCTCCATCGGAGTGAGAGCCGGGTTGCGATCGGTGAGCCCAACTAGCTCAACGACGCGCTTGGCGAGGGCGGTCCGTCAAGCGTGATCCCGTAATCATCCCTGGTGCACCTCGATTCCCGTGTAAAAGGAGAGAGGCCCTGGTCACTCATCCGGAAGGTGGCCTTCATCTCTTCCTTGAATGTCGCCACCTCCACATCCTTGGTGTCGGTGATCACCAAGTCGTCGACGAGACACCCACCGCCAGGCATTTTCTCCATTGCCCCGCCGGTGAGATGGTCGCCTCGTCGCGGGCTTTGCTCAAGCCCATCCCATTTAGTGTGGAATCCAACTTGGCATTCCACGCCTCGCTCGCCGCAAGCCATAGAGGCCTTTGCGCAGCGGAGTACCTGCCCTCCTTGCGGGGATCGCAAATCCCGGTGGTCTGGTGCACGAGACTCTCCTCCTTCAAGTCGCCGTTAATGAACGCCGACTTGACGTCCATGTGATGAACGCGCTTAGCCCTCCAGGCAGCTAAGCGCAAGGAGGAGTCGACGGACTCCATCCGTGCCACGGAGCAAAAAGGTCGTCGCCGGTCGACCCCTCCCGCCGCACGAAACCTCGTGCCACCAAGCGAGCCTTGTGCTTGACGATGGCGCGGCTTCATCCCTCTTCACCTTGTACACCCACTTAAGGGTGATCGCATGGTGGCCACGAGGAAGGTCAAGAAGCTCCCAGGTGCGGTTCTTCTCAACCGCATCCATCTCCAACTGCATCGCGGCGCGCCATGCCTCGTGTCTCTCGGCCTCTACGAACGACCGAGGCTCGCCGTCGTCACATGCAAGGTGCAACTGCGCCTCCAGGTCCTCCAGGTCGTGAGGCACCAGTCCCGGCACCAACTGGTCGCCGAGAAGGTTCTCCATCGTACGGTACCACAACGGCTCGCTGTCGTGGTACGCGTCGATGCGCTCCTCGTCGTGAGAGAGCGGAGTAGCGAGCTCAACCGGGCTGTGCTCGACACGAGGTGGTGTTGGAGTAGACGTGCCCGGAGAGGTGCCTGTTGGTGCTGGAGTGCGTGGCGTTGCCGGCGAAGAACTCATCGCTGCCGAGGTCCTGGCTGGAGAGCGTGGTGCTATCGGAGTAGCGGGCGCCGGGGTCGGTGGAAGCTCGGGGACTGGAGTAGACGCGCTCGCCGAAGAAGAGCTACCTACTCCCCCAGCTCCCTCGAAATGGACGACTCGACGGTGAAGTCGTCGTGACGCCGGAGCCGAGCCATCGTCCACCGCTTTTGTCCCCACGCCCATCTCGCTTTTTCGCCGAACACAACGTCGCGCGGCGCAGGCGCACACGCGCGTGTCTTCGGGTCGAGGATGCGGTAGGCCTCGAGCCCTCCGCGTAGCCGATGAACACCGCCGGAGTGCTCGCTCGCCGAAGCTTGTTGATGTCGCCAAGCTCCTTGGCTTAACGCGAGGCGTACCAAGACCCGCAAGTGGGAGACCGCCGGCTTGCGCGCCATGCCAAGCCTCGTGACGGCGATCCCTACCGCCGAGCGCTTTGGTAGGCGAAGCGGTTGAGGATGTAGACGGCCGTCACCACCGCTTTCTCCCGGAAGACACCCGGCATCCCCTCTCGCTGAGGAGGGCTCGAGCCATCCCCACAACCGTCTGGTTGCGCCGCCGACAACGTCGTTCTGCTGCGGGCTGTATGGCGCGGAGTAGTGGCGCTGAATGCCCTCGTCAGCGCAGTACGACGCGAATTCAACCGCCGTGAATTCGCCGCCGTTGTCGGTGTGCAGCACGCGCAACTTGCGGACGCACTCCGCCTCCGCAGCAGCTTCAAGGCAGCGCTACCGATGGCGTCCGCAGCCTCTCCCTTCTTGCCGAGGACCATCACCCACATGTAGCGGAGAGGTCGTCGACGAGCAAAGCAGGAAGTAGCGTCGTCCTCCGGTGTGGCCGGTGTCACCGGGCCACACAAGTCCCCGTGCACAAGCTCGAGCCTCTCCTTGGCTCGAAAGCTAGCCCGCTGTGGAAAGGGGAGTCGCCTTTGCTTCGTCAACACGCAGACGTCGCAGAGCTGCTCCACATGGTCGAGGCATGGCAGGCCTCGCACCATCTCCGTGGTAACCGAGCCGCTTGGGCCTCAAAGTGAAGGTGCCCAAACGCCATGCATCGCCACGCGCTCGTCGTCCCCGACGAGCGGCGAGACAGAGGGTTGTGCCACCGCACGTTAAGGACGTAGAGTCGACGGCGCTCGGATACCTTGGCAAGAAGGCGACGACGACGATCCCAAATCCTCATGACTCCATCCTCAACCACCACGCCGCGAACCGTTTCTCATCCACCGTCCCCAAGTCGATGATGGAGTTCCTCAACGCGGGGATGTAGTAGACTCCGGTGAGCAGCCTGTGCTCACCAGACACGATGGTGAAGATGACGGAGCCGACGCCCTTGATCTCCACGTCGGAGGCATCCCCAAACTTGACGGAGCCTCGGACGCTAGAGTCAAGCTCGGTGAAGAACTCCCGTCGACCGGTCATGTGATGGGTGGTGCTGGTGTCGAGGCACCACCCGTCAGTCTTGTCGTTACCAGAGCTGTCGCCGAGGAGGGCGTGTGCTTTTGGCTCGTCAAGGTGGAGGAGAGCCGCTGCGGCCGGTGCCGCTGGAGGTAGCTCGATGCTGGCATGTGCCATGAACAGAGCCGGCTCCTCCGCCTGTGCGACGTGGGTCTGGCCGCGTCGTGGCTGTCGACAGTCCTTGGCCCAATGGCCAAAGCCGGCGCGATGCGGCGGTGTCGTCTCGTCGGCTTAGGGCTCGCTGCGCGGCGCCGCCTGGCGCCTCGCGCGGGCATCACCCGGCACGTCCTCGCGCTCGGGCGCTGGCGTCTCTGGCGGCTTGCCACGCTTTACCGCTCGTGGAAGAAGGCTCCCCCTTCCTCCGGTCACCTTGGCTGGCAAGCCACTGCTCCCGAGTGAGAAGGAGCTTCCCGCCAGTGGTGATGGGCCCCGAGAGGGACTGTGGCTCATCGTTGTCGACGACCTTGAGGCGACCTATCGCCTCCTCGATCGACATCGTGGAGAGATCCAGCAGAGACTCGATCGAGCGAGCCATCTGCTTGTACTTCTCGGGAACGCAGCGGAAGAGCTTTTCGACAGCTCTCTCCTCGCCGTAGGTGTCGTCGTCGAACTGCACCATCTTCTGCAACAGAGTGTTGAGACGGAGAGCAAAGTCATCAACATCCTCACCTAGCTTGAAGGCCAGGTTCTCCCACTCCTTGCGAAGTGCCTGCAGTGTGGACTTGCGGGCGCGGTCGCTGCCGATGCGTGCCGCAGCGATGGCGTCCCAAGCCTCCTTGGCAGTCCGCTTGCTGGTAAGCGAGAATTGCATCTCGGGCGGGATTGCAGCGATGAGAGCATCCAGCGCCCGTCGATCTAGGTCGTAGTCGACGTCGCCGTACCGGACTGCCTCCCACATGTGCCGCACCTGGAGCTTTGCCCTCATCACCGCAGCCCACTCGACGTAGTTGGTCTTGGTGAGGGTAGGCCACCCACCGCCGGGACCGACGTCCCTGACAACAGCCTGGAGCACGTGGTAACCACGGTACCGATCCGGGGAGAGAGAGCCACGCTGCCTGTGAAGGCCACGCT